ACAAAAGTTAAATTAAAAATCATTTGCAAAAAAATGTGGGTTTGGGAGGATTTTTAAATTTTATTTTTATATTTTTATTTTATGTGTATGAGTGTATTGCCTGCATGTATGTAAATGCACCCATGTCCTGCAATGCCCACGGAGGACAAAAGAGGGCGTCAGATTTCCCAGAACTGGAGTTACAGACAGTTGTCAGCTGCCATGTGGGTGCTGGAAATTGAACCTGGGTCTTCTGCAAGAACGGCCAGTGTTCTCAAGAACTGCTGAGCCATCTCTCCAGCCCCCCAAATGTTTTAAATATAAACTTTTCCTTGAAATTCTTACATATGTAAATTAAATTTTATATTAATTATACCAGCATATATTGATATAATGGGAAAATTTTCCAAATTAAAACTTCATAAATTATAAAAAAAACTGTGTGGTGGCACATGGCTTTAGTCCCAGCATTTGGGAGTCAGAGGCAGGAGGATCTCTGTGATATTGAGGCCAACCTGGTCTATCAAAAAGAAAAGAAAGAAAAGAAAAGAAAAGAAAAGAAAAGAAAAGAATAAAAAGAAGAGGTGGTGTCAGGATGGGGACACACTCACACACACACACACTCACACACACACTCACACACACACACACACACGACTGTGCAAGGACATGGGAAGAGATTCACTTACATGCCATGGAGCCTGCCCTGCCCTGAGCTTGGACTCTTCTAGCCTTGGACTATGCGGAAATTAATCTATGCCGCTCAAGTCACCAGGTCTGTATCTGTTAAGACAGCTCAAACAGACAACACAACTCTCTTAAGAGGGAAAATGCTACATTCTGAAACTTACAATTTCTGCCTTTGCTGTTTCATCAAAGTCAATACTGAAAAACATGTGGCATCTAATGTCGTCTCAACGAGAGAACTTGTATCTTCGCATCTGAATTATGTACTGGTCTCTTTTCCCCTCTAAATTCAGCTGCACAGTGCTGACCTTCTTGTATTCCTAATGCTGTGAGGGCCGTGGATCCTTGCAGAGCCTAAAGTTCATCCATTGAGAGGTGTACCCACCACAGTTTCCTGTTTATTAGTCTCTTCTGTTCTGTTGACCAAATGCAATGTGATCTTTTTGAAAATTTTCTGGGAAATGAGAGAAAATGTAATGTCCAACTGGTTCTTAAAGACAATTTGGTGAGTATGGTGGGACTCCCATTACTGAGCACCCTGTACCCAGGAGGAGCTTGGTCATGGGATCCATTACTTTCATTTAGACATGACTGCCTCCATTTCTTTTTAAAATTTTTTATTTATTATTATTATTATTATTATTATTATTTTGTCTTTTTGAGACAAGGTCTCCCTGTAGCCCCAGCTGTCCTGGAACTATGTAGACCAGGCTGGCCTTGAACTCACAGAAATCCTCCTGTCTCTGCCTCCCGAGTGCTGGAATTAAAGGCGTGTGCCACCACGCGCGGCTTTACTATTTTTATTTTATGTGTATGTGTGTATTGCCTACATGTGTGTAAGTACTTGTGTCATGCAGTACCCATGGAGGTCAGAAGAGGGCATTGGATTCCCCTGAAACTGGACTTATTGACGGTTTTTAGCCAGCATGTAGGTGCTAGGAATCAAACCCAGGTCCTCTATGTGAACAGCCGGTGATTTTAACTGCTGAGCCATATCTCCAGCCCCGGATGCCTCTATTTCTTAATAGTAATTAATGATTAAATAGATGCCTGTTCTCCTGAAATCTGCTTTGAAACAATTGATCATTTCTTTCCAGTTGGTTTGTTCAACACACATTCACTAGACCCCACTTCCAAACTCAAGATGTTGCAGAAAGGCAGACTTGTCTTGTGTCCTCACTGACTATTGTCAGGAAGTAGCAGTTTCTTACCACAAGGGCCTCCCAGGGGAGCTCACGAGATCAATGGTCAGCTTCCTTGGAGCAAGAACAGAAGTCCCAACCTTGTTACTATCCCAAAGGAACAAGCCTCTTAGCACTCCTTGCTGTAGTCCTAGAGACAAGCTTCCAAGTTCAGTATGTCATCCTGGAGGGTACTACACACAGTACAAAGCCAGGTGGCAGGGCAAGGCAAGGGGCCTCTTGGGGTCCTCTCTTCCCACCTTGGATACTAGCTTCTGAGATACCTGCCCAAGCCCTGAGAGCCACCTGACAGGGAAAAGAAAGAGTGAGGAGTTTAGAAATGAGGTCACCTGCCTGTCCCCAGCTAGGAGAACCTTGGTGAGACCCTTAAGGGACACCCAAGGAGCCCTGGCAGACCTACAAGATAGCAGAAAAAGGACTTTAGGTACATGACACAGGACAAGCTGTCAAGGGGGCAGATAACTTTTAAAAAAGGGTGCCCCCAGAGGACATCTGTCTGATAGGTACTGGACCTGGCAGAATGTGGTGATAGATAGGAGGAGGGGCAGGGCTGAATGGTGGCTAAATCTGGAGTACTTGACTGACGAAGGGGACCAAGGACATGCTTCAGCCTCAGGTCCCTGAGCTGTGAGCTGGTAGCAGCAGTCTGACCGAGACTTACAGGGCTAGATTGTCCAGAAGCACAGGGCTGGGTTGTTGTGTGCTGTTCTTTCTGGAGAAGGTGGATTGGAATGTTATGTCTAGGATTGCTGTGATAAAACACCACAAACAACACAGATTTCTTCTCTAACAGCTCTAGAGGTTTGATGTCTACCACAAAGTGTGAGCAGGGTTCGTCCCTTCTGGAAACTGGTGTGGGGAAGCTGTTCCAGGCCACTTCTCTTATCAGTGTAGACTGTCTGGCTATCCAGGCCTCTACCTGAGACTCATCCCTCCATCTTGTGTCTTGGTGCACCCACCTGCTCTGTGTTCTTACTTTCTCTTACACTGATGCCAAATACTGGATTCAGAGTCCTCCCTAAATCCATCAAGAATTCATCTCTCCCAGGTACCAGGATTTAAGATGCATGTGTCTGACTTGTGACTGGTATAGGACTGAGAAGGGGAAGGAAATTCATTGAGATTTGGTTCAAATGTTGCCAACTCAGGAGGCTCTTTAGATCACCCACTTAACCCTTCATCCACACTAGCCCACACTAGTTGCTGAGGGCCTGGTGTGTGCTGGATGCTGTCCTGGGCATCAAGAACAGACATCCTGCCCTCCTAGGTTCACATCCCAGCTCGAACAGAAAGCAGAGCATTGTATGCAGGTCAGGTGCCAAATGCCATGGAAAAAGTTGTGAGACTAAGGGAGGAGGGCGGGTGTGCCAAGATGGGTGATCAGGGAAGGCTTGTTTAAGGGGTGACACCTGGGTCAAGACTGGAAGAAAGTGGGCTTGGAGTACAGTGGGAAGGAGCGTTCTCTACAGAGGGCACAGGCGGCATGAGAAGCCTGCAGGGGTGAGCGTATCAAGTCCAGCAACAACCAGCGGCTAGACTAGAGCAGGCTTGACTGGAGAGGTCAGGAGACATGAGGTTGGGGACCCTCAAGACAAGTAGGAGGGGCCTAGAGCAAGTGATCCTAGCACCACTGTCAGGCCCAGTGATTCACAGGACCCAGGACCCAAAAGGCTATTACAGACAGAGGTACAACTTATTAGAGGAAAGACTGCTAATAAAAGCTAGCGGTGTCAAATGACCCATGGGATGGAGCCCAGGAGAGGCCAGTGTCCAGCTGCCCTCTCCTGTGTGATCTTTGGGCAATATGTGCTTCTCCTGGCAGTGATGCATGACAGCGTATGTGAGTAAATCCTGCCTCGGTGGGTTTTTAATTGGATTCAGTCTGTAGTCTCTGAGCCCTCCAGAAGACCAGCTAACATTGCAGCCCAGGGCCCCTCTTCATTCAATTGTAGACTCTTCAGCGTGGCTAGGGTCCAGATAAACAGACACAATTCCCACAGGATGAGCCAGGGTCTTGGAAGTTGCCTTCCAAGCACTGGCCCAGGACTGGTTTCTGTGGCCAGTGTAGGGTTGGCCGCTCCTAACAGACCAAACTAGCTAGCCCTTTTCAGGTTAGGATGGACAACCAGGGCAAGCTGGAAGGTTCTGAGCAGGGCCTGATGGAAGTCAGGGCACAAGGAAGAGTGCCGGGCAGCACAGGCAGCCAGCTAGGGTTGAGGTGGGTGGGCAGGCAGGCAGGCTACGGTCTCTGTCTAGCAAAGAGGACGTGAAGGTAGCAAGGGGGCAGGTGTGAGTGCTGACAGGGGACCGGGTGGGTAAATGTTTTTATTGGGTGTGGAAAAGGCCTGCCTACAAGAGGGAGAGGAGGCCCTCACGGACGAAGCTCTCCCTCCCCTGGTTCCGCAGCTACGGGCAGAAAGGAGAGGGGCAGGTTTGGAGAGAAAAGACGGAATCTCGCCATCCTACAAGGCGGGAAAGTGGGCTTGCGCACTGAAAGAGACGTAGGGAAGTCTGAACCAGAGAGAGGTTCACCCCGTCAGTCTGCCGGTGCGTCATGAGTCACCTTCAGTGACCCTCTCCCTGGGTTCCCTTGGGTTCCGGTGGGGAAAGCTCGTCCCATCTGAGACCAAGAAGCCTCCTGCCTGCCGCCGATGTGCCCCCTAGATGCCCTTGGCCCTGGCTGCCCGATCCAGACCCTCGGACGGTCTAGGCCCGGCCTACCCTGGGCCGGGTGCATGATCTACGTGGTAGGAGCACGGTGCGGATGCGACACAGAACTGGCCGCGCCAGGAGCGGGACAGGGTCCCCCGGAGGCCCAGACGCACCGCGCCCAGGACAGCACTGGAAGCCCTGGAGGGGCCTCCGCGGGAACGGGGCCGGTCCCTTCGGGGCGGGGCTTGCGGTGGGCGGGGCGTGTCTGGGCGGGGCTCCACGCTTCCCCGGAGCCGCACGCCGGTTCCAGCCCGCAGAGGCGGCTCCGGAGGGGCGGGCGAGCTCCTCCCTCGGGTC